CAATCTCCCAGTAGGACAAAACAAAATTTGAACACATTTTTCCATGCTGCTCCTGTTCCATAGACAGTGAAGACACTGAGTTCACAATGGACCACAAAAGTCAATCTCCCAGTAGGACAAAACAAAATTTGAACACATTTTTCCATGCTGCTCCTGTTCCATAGACAGTGAAGACACTGAGCCCAGACACAGAATGGACTACAAAAGTCAATCTCCCAGTAGGGAGACAGTCAAGTCTCTTTAGTGACATAATTACCTTCTTAAATAGGAGCTATTGCTGTGACTTTCCTCAATAGCAAAGAGCAACAAAAGGCAGGAGTGGGCTAATTTGGGAGAAAATTAATCAGAAAATACCATCCGTGCATTCACTGTTTCCTTGATTCTATAAATATTAGCATCTTGCTTTTTATTTTTTGATGTAGAAAAATGAACTACGCCAGTTTTGTTTCAACAGCAATCGAAAACTTTGATGAAAACTTTACAAATTGGTGAATCAAAGGTCCCTGCTTAATCCTGGCATACTGAAGATATTTCAGATCTGGGGATAATCTGTTGGAGGATGTATGCTGGACAGAAATCAAAGTAGTTGTGGGTGCAGCCAGAACTGAAAGTGGGAGTGGATGTTGCTCTAGTGTGTGTTGTAATCAGTTTCCTGATCCTAGCCAGAACACTGTTTAGAGAAGTAGCCAGTCCAGATTTTGGGACTGACCAGAGAGATGAAGCCAGAAGCCAGCAGTAGGAAAAGCTACAACAGAAGGCAGAAAGGACTTGATCTCCTTTGGTATTAATAACATTTGTTACAATACCTCTCTTGGTTTGGGAACTTTTTTGGATAGTCTTCAAGAGATACAAGTGTTGTCTCACAGATACTCTTTTTCTCTCTTTCTATTTGCCTCCTTACATATATTTTTTCTGTGTTCAAAACTGCAGAGAACGAACTCTCAGTGTTTACCAAAGGTCAGTATTAACCTCTTTACAAGCTTTTGAAATTAGGCAAAAGGATTTACAGAATTTGATTGAGGACGGCAACTTCACAGCTACATCTTGTCCACCTCTTTCCGATTTGGGCAACTTTGGAATATGCATATATAACACCTTTGGTTGCATGGACGGTATTAGGATCGAAATACACTAAAACTCTAATATCTGTGGAAACAATTTTGTCAGTTAAAAATGGAATGTAATGTCTAATAAAAGAAGACTTGACTCTTTTTTCCATGCCAAATTGACTTTATGGGGAGCCCAATTTTAAAAATTGAGAAAAAGATGGTGATATGGAAAAATTGGGTGGAAGCGGGGATATTGACATTGGACCAATTGATAGATGATGAAGATGAATTTTAACGTATGCTGTGTTAAGAGATAAATATCATCTATCAGATGAAACCCAATGGCAATATTTACAGTTACAAGATATGTTAACAACATTGTTTGGATTAGCAGCATTTTCAGCTTCTGAGACACCTGAGATATTAGAACAACTTGTTAAATCCTTTAAAACTAAAACACCTATTATTAGTCTGTATAGATATTTGTTATCAATAAATCAGTTTGATATGCAGATGATAAGGGTTGAGTGGAATAATAGAGGTTTCTATATTGCCTATATTGCCTCACAGATACTCTTTTTCTTTCTATTTGCCTCCTTCCATATATTTTTTCTGTGTTCAGAACTGCAGAGGACGAACAGTCAGTATTTGACAAAGGTCAGTATTAACCTCTTTAAAAGTTTTTGAAATTAGGCAAAAGGATGTACAGAATTTGATTAAGGGCTGCAACTTCACAGCTACATCTTGTCCACCTCATCTTAAAAAGAAGTAAACTAAAAAGCAATCCAAATACATAATCCTAAATAGATATGCTCTGATATGAGGCACCTCGCCATATATGAGGTTTCTTCCCTCAGCTGCACACTAAGCTAACTCCTTTTTATTAAGACTACGTATGTTCCACATACAATTAGGAAGTGCTACAGGCCTTGAGCAAATACAGCACTTCTAGAAAGAGCTGTGCTTGCAAATGATTCATAGAATTTCCTCCAAACCACTAAATTATGCTCAGTGTATATGCGCGTGTGCGCACACACACGCACACACACACACTGGAATGTATTAACTTCATGCAGAAGGAGTCTCCAAATTGACTGAGTGATTGATTTAATCAGTTTGCATTGCAGCTCAATCAGGGAGACAATTCTGGGTGCTTTACATATTAAGAATAGAAACAACAATAATATAGTAAGAATAAACAATGGTACCCAATGGAAAATTGTGAAAAACCAAACCCAGTCACAATGATAAGACATAAATCCAGTATCAGGGAGTGAATCATAACACACCTTCCTGGTCTTTAAAGATTTGCCAGAGGATGGAAGCACTGGGGTTGTAGAGACTGCTAATTTTTCCTGTCAGGAACTCAAGGTAGTTTGATCAGCAGGATACACAGTGATAATCTGGTGGTTCATAGGGAATTTATGGAATTACTTGTCATTGATCCACATTGACCAATCCTTGTCTCTGCTTATTACTTTATGAAACCAAATGGTATCCTGGAGAGCCATTTGTAATCTGTTGGAGGATACATATTGAGCAGAAATGAAGGAATCAGTGTTTGCAGCCAGAGATGAAAGTGGCAATAGTCACTGCAGTGTGCTGTTGTAAGCCATTCTCTGATCCTAGCTAGCTAACTGTATGTGTGCATGTCGGTGTGCATTAAAAAAAATGGAGAGTTCTTATGCATGGGTATCTCCATCAGTCTGTCTGTCTCTTCTTTCACAAGGAGATTCCAACTTCTAATTTTGCCTCTGTCAGGAACATAGGATAGATGATTGCCAGGGTACATAGCGATAATCTAGTGGATCATAGAGAATTTCTGGAACTGCTTATCCTGAACTAGTTATCAATGACCCACATAGACCAATCCTTGTCTCCGCCTGTTCTTTATGAAACCAAATGACCAACTAACTTGCTTCTTCATAATAAACAGACTGAGAATGTTTCCTACTGGATTCACAGATTCATTTCATCAAGCTTAGTATTGCTTCCTTTTGGCTTAGCATGAAGTCCAAACCCACCCTCTCAACACCAGGCTTCCTTTCTTGGGATGTGTCCATACATCATGTTAAAAACTGGCTATGGAGCATTTTCTTGTGGCTGGGGCTGCAGTTTATGCTTTAGCAATTATTTTGGTCTGAAAGGACATGGGGGTATGGATGGTGGCATTATATCATCAGCCAAATTTTCAGAACATAATCTCAGGGTCTTGAGCAGCCACAAATGTGGTCCTGGAGACCACGTGCAACATGTTAGCATCCAGTTGTCCACATCTGACTTAACATGATTTATTAACCAGGCAGTCCATGTCAGGAGATATTTCCCCTCCACCACCATTCTAATTCAGATCAATATTTGTTTTTACAGATCCAATGTGGCCAGTTCCAGTAGTAATTATAGCTATCATTGTTTTGTTTCTGAGTTTCTTGTTCTGTTTCCTGCTTAAAAAATGTAAGTGGAAGGAGCTCTTAGTTGAAGCATATTGTTTTGTTTGTTTCCCACCTGGGTTTTGATACAGTTTTGGCCTGGGAACAGCTTTGGTTGCCCTGCTGGATTATAAACTTGCTACCCCTGAATCTCTTAGAGGCTTTCACCTTTGAACTGCTGAACTTTGTTGATGTATATGAGCTGTATATGTATATAAGGAAGGGAGTTGGAGATTGCTTCATGTTGTTCTTTCTTTTTGTATTTTAGATGGATCTTTCAAGTGATGTTCATGGTAGGAAAAAACAAATGCTTATACCTTATGATTCTATGAAGTAGTTAACAATGGCCTTTGTGGTCTGTAGAGCAATTTCCTTGGAGGCAGGACCTTGGGCTATTTTGACTTTCGACTAACACAGTTATATCCTAACACAGATTTGTCTATAAAGTTTTAGTAATTAAGAGATTTTTTTTTCTGCTAGCAGTTGCCTCACCCCTCCAAAGCTATAATATGCTGATGGAGTAAGTGATCTCCAATGCCTTGAATGAAGGCATTACCGACCATTTGAATGAAGGGGTGAATGGCACACCCCTCCTCAAGAAGTCTTCAATGGTTCCAATTGTATTAGACAATTTTCATCAGCCTCTAACATTCTCTCCCCCACCCCCAGAGTAACTAGGGGAGGCTGTCAAAGTCTTTTTGGGGTGTCTGGAGGCTGTGGGGAACTGGATGAGGAAGAACAGGCCAAAGCTCAACACTGACAAGCTTGAATGGGGCTGGGGATGTTTTATCTTTAATTCCAAAAGGGTACTTGCACTTCCCCTTTAGGGACTAGTGTACAATTTAGGTTTTTTCTTGCATATACAGCTCCTACTTGAGGAGCAAGTAGCAGCCATAGCTAAGAAGCCTTGGCTAAGAAACTGTGGCTAAGATATCCATCTTGTGATACTTACCTGAATCAGGAAGCCCTTCAGACAGTCCCTCATCCTTTGATCACTTTGTGCATGGATTATTGCAAGCTCTAGATGGGCCTACCCTTGGAAGCCAGTAAAAAGTTCACACCTCCCCTTTCAGTGGTGTGAAGGCATGGACTTCAAATCTTCAGGTGCTCCATTCAATGCTGAGTGTCAGGCCTAGCCCAAGGAACTCCAAGAGACCATGTAAATTCAGTCCAGCTATGTTTATTAGCTACAACCTCTA